TTTTAATACATAACTACACACACATGCACAGGAGTGTTTTTAACTTGCTTTTTAAATTAAAAAATATGTCAATAATCACTCCATATCAATTCACTATGATAATTTTAAAGTCTGCATAATATTTTGTATATTTTAATTAAAAAAATATGTGGTAGATATTAGGCTGCTGTTAGTTTTTCACATCTACGAAAAACAGTGTTTACCTTTAACTGTGAGGCAGTGAGGTAGAAGAAGAGGTAATGGAACAGGACAGGTCTGGTAACATGACAGATTTCGGGAGAAACAGACTTACTAGCTTTGGGCTCATAGACAAGTTACTGAAACCCTTTGAAACTTGAATCATGTTAGGAGGATTAAAGCAAATGAGAACATCTGAAAAGCATATACTATGATGCTGGGTACATAAAAGGCACTCAAAAAATCAGTGCCTCTACACACATTATGAAACTATTAAGGAAGCAAAGATATTTGATCAATCCATATTATTTATTACTGGCTTCCATATATACCAAAATTTGGTGTGAGAATATAACTTCATATTGAAATTATATAGTCAGTTGGGAAAAGAAGTAGTTCTGAAATATTTCCTTGTCTGAAACGTCAATGATATATCTCTGACAAAATTTCATATATAATAGGATTTTCCTTTGAACATTTTGTTCCAGACTGAATATAGCTAGAAAATAATTGGGCATGAATAGCATACATTATGTAATTAGTTTAATTCTACTTAAAAATCTCCTTACAGAAAACATTTCGAAACAGTTTTATTTCATTCACTGATATTTAGCCCTCTGTAGAATATAAAAAGATTTGATTTTCAAATACCTTAAACAATAACTATCACTGTGGTTTAGTTTTCCAATAGAATACCTGGTTCAAAAAATACCTTAAAATGTCACAATATACTTTATATGTCTATTAGCAAAGAATAGCAGAGGAAGTTCATTTTAGTAAGGTTAAAGAAAGTATAGTAATCTAATGGAATTCTAGCCAAGTCTTCTGTGTAAAGATCTTATGCAATAATTAGTAAGTGAAACAATAGAACACTGATCTATCTATAGGCAGCAAAAAATAGCAGAGAGACAGGTAGGCTTAAACTATCTTTCCAGAGAGAGCCAAGAATTGTTCCCTTTACCAGATCAGAATGTTCCAGTGTTGAGAGGAAAATTACCTACTCTATGTTATGCAATGGTAATCCTATATTCTGGTTAAAAAAAAGAGACTAGATGATCAAAAACACCTTAGAAGAAAAATCTGTAAGCATTTGATATTTTTTCCATCATTCCTCTGGGATACTCTTATTCTGAGGACAAGATAACACAGGAAGGGGTTCTCAATTAAGTGAATAGCTCCAGGATTGGGCGGGGGGAGCACTAAACTATTTGGTTGAGGGAGTAAATTAATTTCCAGTTGTATACTGTTACCTTTATGCTCTAAAAACCCCCACCATTCATTATTCTCCCGAAATATGCTTCTTCTTTTGAATTCCTTAGCTCAGGGCCCAGTACCATCCTTCATGAAGTTGTCTAAATTAAAAAGCTGAAAATTAATGTTTACTTATTTCTATTGCTCATTTCTGAAGTCAGCTTGGATCGTATCACATAGTCGTCATTTACTGCATGCTTATGTACCATATACTGTGCTGAGTAAAAACATTTAATACTCGTAACAACATAAAATAGCTATTATCTATATTTTTAAGGAAAACTCAGATTAGTTAAGATATGTACAAGGTGACAATCCTATTAAGGGCAAAGCCTTATTATTAACCATTGTGATGTACCTCTCATGCTTTTTATTCTTTGCCACTGACAAAAGCCTTGTCTTTATCACTGTTCATCTATATTAATATAAAGCTTCCTAAGTGGTTTGTCTCCAGGCCGCCTTCCAATCCATTTTGGTAAGAATAATAAATGCACTGAAATAAATCTGAAAATGTCTCTCCTTGCTTCAAAATCTTTAGAAACGTCTCTTCTAAGGCCTACAACTCATTTACAATATTATTCCAATCTAACTTTCCAGCCTTGTTGCCTACAATTATTCTTAACAACCCCTTGACTTTATCAAACTCGCACTTCTTAAAAACATTGTCCTTATTCAGGTTTCATGGTATTTTCAGTCACCTTATAAGCATGTGAAAGCTAAGCAATGAAAAAGAAAGAAGAATTGGCATATTTGAATTGTGATGTTGGCAAAAAATATTGAATATACCATAGACTGTCAATATAACAAACAAATTAGTCTTGGATGAAGTACAGCCAGAATGCTCCTTAGCCGTGAGGATGTGAGACTTCATCTTGCTTACTTTGAATATGTCATTAGGAAAGACCAATCTCTACAGAAGATTATTCCATCTTGGCTAGAACTCGAAATCTCCTCAGTAGGAGACTTTCAAATTTGACAAACTGACTGTAAATATTATCTGGAGGAATTAACACATAAGCCAACAGAATGAAAAAGAAAAATGACACAGGACTTTCCCTAACATGCTAAAAAAAGCAGTATAATCAAAAGAGTATGGCACTGGAAAAGAAATAAGTATACCAGTGGAACAAAAATTCAGAAAAAGATTTATGTGTGTGTCTAGGCATATAAACATTTATTATATGACAAATAAGGTAATTCAAATCAGTAGGGAAAAGATGGGTTTTTCAATTGGACTAAGAAAATATAACATCAGTTGAGTCATTCCATATATAAGTAAAAATAAATTTGTATCAATATAAATTGCGGATAGATTAAAGAACATTTAAATATGTAAATTTAAATACAGACCCAAGATAGTAGTGTAAACTGGCATAAGTGCTTTGGAAAACAGTTTGATATCATCTCACAAAGTGGAAAATACGCACTGCTTAAAACCCAGGAATTCTATTCCTCAGTATATACCTCAGAGAAACTCTTTACACATGTGTACCAGAATGCTTTTAAAAGAATGCTAACAGCATCATTTTTTCATAAAAGCCTAAAATGGAAACAAGCCAAATATCCATCAACTATAGGATGTCTAAATAAACTCTGGTACAATGGAGAATTTTACAGCAACAAAAAAATATAAGAAATCTTAGTTACAGGCAACAACACTGAAGAATCCCACAAACAGTATTGAACAAAAGAAGCAAGATTCAAAAGACTGCATACAATATGATTCAATTCATATAAAGTTCAAAAAGAAGCACAAATAAATTATAATATTTAGGAATTGGCACATAGCAGGTAAAACTAAAGAAAAGCAAAGAACTGAAAATGATAAAAATGCAGGATATTGGTTACATCTAGGTTGGAAAACAGAGTTGTGACTGGGCCAAGAATGTATTCACTTTTTATCCCTTACAGCCTTTGGCCAAAGCATCTATTAACTATTTTGAAGTAAGAAATATTGTAATCAATAAATGCATGCTTGATTTAAGCTATATATAAACTAAATAACGATTTCTGGTGCTAGAAACATCATGAAAGGTTACTGTATTTCACAAAAATTGAATTATCTTGATCAATCAATCATGTTTCCAATAGTTAAAATACACATGCATGTTTACTGAATACTAGCCAAAAGGCTGTCAGTTTGACCTCACCCAGAGGCACCTCAGAAGATAAGCCTAGCAACCTGCTTCTGAAAGGTCATAGCCTTGAAAACCCTATGTAGCACAGTTCTACTCTGACACACATGGGTCACCATGATTCGGAATCAACTCAATGGCAACTAACAACAACAAGAACAAGACAGTATAATTCAAATTTAAACTCAATTGTACTATTTATATATTTATATATATTTTTATATTTATATATTCCCAGAGATTACCCAACTAAAATGAACATTACATCCAGATTTCGCATTTCCCCTGACAAAAACAAAAAGTTTACATCTGATTTCAGCTGAAAACGCTAATGGTGCCATCAAATATTGAAATATTTTATAGCAGTTTTTCTTCTAATACTTCTGAAATCAAGAATCAATTACATATTTTTTTAGGCCTCAGGCTTTAAGTTCTCTGAAGCTGTTCTGGAAATAATATCAGTATATAACTACAGAATTTCAAAAAACAAACAATAAAAAACAACCAAAGTTTCTGCTAATTAATTATATAATTAATTAATATAATTATATAAATAATTAATATAATTACGGTACTAATCCTTGATGTTGACTACACGTTAAAACATCTGACATATCGCAACAAATAGTATCTCACATATTAAGGATCAATGGGGTTAACTGATTTTAAAATAATGCAAGTAAATTAAAGAACTATTTACTAAGCTTTGAATTCACTGATCTTGATATTTAAAAGTTTAAATCAAACCAAGATTAATAATTTCTTGAGATCTTTACATGTCATTTTAAAAGTACTGTTTATCCTGACTACTGCATTCGAACTGTTAAATTTGTTTATGGAAACATAGCAAGTTTAGTTCTCATTAGATTGTAAACTGCTTTGGGACAAAGGTAACATGTTATGATAGAAGATTAATATTTCACAGAACTTAGTAAAATGTTAGAGACAGAAGAAATGAGTAATGCTCTAACTTTCAAAATATAAGATTAATTTCTCATTCACTGTATTGTAAATTTTTAATTTAAATTGGCATATTGTGTTTCAAAGGAACCAGGAAATATTTACCAGAAGGCTTATATTATTTATAATTGTTGAAGGAATAAAGGGAGAAGTAATTATAATCTTTATGCACATTAACGCCGATACACAGTGCTTTCTCAAGTAGATTTTCAATGAAATACATAGGAAGGGGTTCCGTTTTTGATTCTCCTAATATTTCTCTCAGATATACATTACTAATGGTGGATAAAATCTGAGGATGATTATCTGATTCAATATATTTATTAAAAAAAAAAAACTGAGTAGACTGACTGGGGATTAAATGATGTCCTAACATATCTAAAGAGTCAACTGTATAAAGAAAATGCAATTCATCCCCCACCTCCATCCCTACCAGGATACTAACTTTTTGTAGAGGTGAAAAATGTCATACTATACCTTGATTTCTTCTATTTCGTCTGGTACTATCTTGTATGCTGATATAGTCCCACCCAATCTGAAATTAGGAGAAGAAAATAGTCTCAAAACTGGTAACAGTGTATTAAAAAATATGGAAGATTTCTGCCATTAGCATAAGACTGCCATCAATAATTGTTCAATGCCTACTCCAATAACCATGGAAGAAAAACAACCATTTTGTGCGTAAGCTTTCCATAAGAGGTAAATAATGAATGACTACTGAAAGAGAAACATTAAGTTAGGTTTTTAACCATAACTAAATTTCTCTAACTGATGGTTTTAATGATGCTAAAACTGCAAATTTATCTACTGGATTCTGCCACAACTAACATGTATCAGGAACCAACAGCAGCCACAGTGTTTGCTTCTTTTAGAAAATAATTTAAACAGGTAGTCAGAGAGATATGTACATCCAGTCTGTATAAGGGAAAGTGATGAGAGTTTGGTGCTTACAAATAATCCCCTAAATCTGTGGGTTACAAATAATTTGATAATTAAGATCTGTTCTTTCCTATGTGACGGTGATGTCACTACATGTCATGTTCACCTTTTTAAAAAAGCAGGTAAGATTTACATAGCACTTACCATATACCAAGCATGTCACATGTATTATTTAATTCTCACAACTTCCTCCATTGTATAAATGGGGAAATTGGTTCAGTAATTCTTCCCAAGTTAGTAGTGAAGGAGCTAATTAAGATCTACATAAGTATAAAATACCAGATTTGGAATATATGGAATGAAATAAAAAGAACGTTTTATATTGATTATATTTTAAAATAACATTCTGAATATATTAAGACATACTATTAAAATAAGTTTTATCTGCTCCTTTTTACTTTAAAAAATGTGGCTACTGGAAAATTTAATATTATATATATGACCTGTATTTGTGGCTCCTATCATATTTCTATTAGGCTCTTAAGCTCCAAGATTATCCACCTGCCTTTGCTCTAATACAGTGCTTACAAAGGAATCTTCTGGTTACTTTTGACTTTATTAAGTACTTCAATATCAGAAAAAGGAGTATCATAAATAGGGTACTTAAGTATTCTGAATACTTTAGAACATGTCCTCTCCCAAATGTGAATTAATAAATGACATTGTTTTCTATGAAAAAAAAAAAACAACTTAATCCAACTAAAAGATTTTGACTTAAGCTATTTGATATTTATTTCCATTTATTCTTGCTAAGGAAACTACTGTTCTGATTGGATTTTAAAATTGTTTCCATGGACTTAAAGTGCCATGCTTGAATGGTAAAAACACTAAGGAAATTTTACTTAACTCATATTCTGTAAGGTATACCAGAGATGCAGTAAATAACACCATACTAAGATAATCAGTAAAAGAATAGCACTAGAGGTTACTAATAATGAAAATTACATAACTTTCTGGGAGAGGTTTAAAATAGGCATTTTAAAGTTTTCATTGACAGTTATTAAAGTTATTTAATTAGAAGCTGAGATTGCTGGGATATAAATGAAGACATTAAAGCCAAAAAAAAAAAAAACTAATGAAAACTAATGAAAACTCTAAGACTGCACTTCACAGCTCTGAAAATAATGAGTTCATCATTTCATTCACTGAGTACAAACTGTAACTCATACTGTCCAGGTCATGTGGATGCAAAGAAAAGTTTTATCGGTAAGCAAATGAGTAATACAATGCATTAAGTTTTACAACAGAGCTCACTGGAAGTTGAAGGTTTGAAATTATTTCAAAATAAAAAATTAAGAAAATTTAAAAAAGAAAAAAGTGTCTGTCACAGTAAAATAGAGTGGTTTTTCATAAAAGCAGTCTACAATTGTTACATAACATAACAGAATCTGTTAGTAAGACAGTGATTTGTTAGCAAATTTGTTAGCAAAATAACAATTCAAAGATACCAATGGTTAACTTCTGGAATAAAAATAAAGTTGCTATGATACACTTCAATCCTTCTTCAACAAACAATTCGTTTTTCTCTTGAATAGCAATACCCAAAAGACTACCTTTTGTGGAATCCAATCCTAGGAGGGTATGGAAAGGTATGTTTTCAGATTAGTACTCTTTTACTCAACTTCAAATCAATGACTAATGCTTTCAATTGTTAAAAAGACAGGTTAAGTATATGATTTAACATCCTCCCATTTAGATTAAAAGGGGATATACGACATATAGGGAGCCCTGGTGATGCAGTGGTTAAGAACTTGGCTGCTAACCAAAAGGTCATCAGTTCGAATCCACCAGCTGCTCCTTGGAAACTCTATAGGGCAGTTCTACTCTGTCCTATAGGGTCACTATGAGTCACAATTGAATCCAGTTTGTTTTTTTTTAAATAAATGATGTGCACATATTTGCATAAGAATAGTATGTTGATGAAGTAACAGAATGATTAGATGATCAAGTGGCTAAAACAGGAAATGTGGAGGGACTCTATTATACTAAACACAGAAATGAGAAAGGAGATTAAAACTGATATAATAGGAAGGCAGAGCCAAAATGGCGGAATAGTCAGATGCTTTGTGTCGTCCCTCTAACAACAAAGACCTAAAAAAATAAGTGAATTGGATATATATGAAAATCTAGGAACCCTAAGCATGAAAGTCAAAGCTGAAAAATCGGACTGAGTGACAGGTGCAACGATAAACAATTTTAAAACAGCAGAAATGGAGAATTACAGATGGCCATATCACTGGTGTCCTGCTAGCCAAACCTGCACAGCACAGAAATATTGAGACAAGCAGCAGCAACTCTGCATGCAATTCCAGAGTCAAACAGGAGTGATATCAGACCTGCAAAAGTTAAGTGCACGCACCCAACCCATCACATGCACCACAGGCCCCTCCTCCATCACAGCTCCATGTGCTGAGGAGCACTCCCTCCTCCACATCCATCCCCCTCCCGACTCTGACACCAGTCTGGTGGTATTCAACACTGCTATGCTCCCTAAGCCAAGAATTCAAGGCCTCAGTCCCAAGGCACCCGCCCCCTGACCTGGCCCACTGGTGCAGGGGGTCCACGGTCTGGCGACCCTCTCCATCCCCTCTGATCATCCACACTAGTGCCTTATGAGTGAGCTGGAACAGCACATCCACACTGGCATTAGGCGGGCAGGGTTCCCAACTGAAACCCATTTTCATCAGCAGCAGCCAAGTGGAAGCTACAGATCTGTTGCATTCGACACCGCTCCACCCACTAAGCTGGTAGCTCTTGGCCTGGTCTCAGGAGCCCATCCCTTCACCCAACTACTGGAGCAGGGAGTTCATGGACTTGCAGTGCCCTTCACTCCCTCCGATCACCTGCACCAGTGCCTTGCTGACTGAGCCAGCACAGGACATCCTCACTGGGACAAGGTGGGCTGGACTACCATTTGAAGCCCATTTTCACATGCAGCAGCCAAGTAGGAGCTGTAGATCTGTGGCATTCCACATCGCCTGGCCCCCTAAGCCGGTAGCTCTCAGCCCATTCTGAGGCACCAGCCCCTTTGCCCAGCCTCTGGTGCAGGGGGTCCATGGACTTGCGGTGCCCTTCAACCCTTCCAATCACCTACAACAGTGCCTTTCTGGCCATGCCAATACAGCACATCCTCATTAGGAAGAAGTGGGCAGGGCTCCCAGTTGAAGCCCATTCTCCCCTGCAACAGTTAAGTGGGAGCTACAGACCTGTGGAATTCACTACCACCCTGCCCCCTAAGAAAGGACCTCAACCATCCACACCAGGGGCCTAAGAGCTGGTGACACCTTCCAATCTCTCCAGCTAACAGCAGCAGACACCAAAAACCAGCTGCACTACCCCCCGCCCCCACACAATGCACTGTAGGGCACAGGGGCACACCCTCCGACTGAGCACTCAGGGCAGCTGATAGCCCGCTGCCTTACCCTCTGCATCGCTCCCCATGAAACCAGAGACTTATGCTTGCTCTATACACCCCCATGGAGCCCTGCCCACTCCAGGACAGTAGGTGAGAGTCTCTGTACCACACACGCAGTGACCGATGATCCAGGCCACCTTCACCACAATCATCTGGCAAGTACTGGAGCACACACACAACACCCAACCCAAATACCAGGGAGAACACCCCCTTCATCCATGGCCAGGTGACCAGCAGAACAGATACATCACATCACCAAAAACGCCACCTACATCCTCAGCAGCCCCACAAGAACAGTCAACATAGTCCCACGCTCATACATCTAGTAGCTGCTCTGTCTACCTGGAGACAGGAGGTGAAACCTTCATTGTGGCCACATTAGCAACCAGAGAAGCACACACACCCAGCCTACACAGATATATCAAAACAAAACAAAAATTCAGGACCAGTAAACAAACATACAGTCAATAAATAAATATAACTTATTGATGCCTATGAGACAACAGTCAATATCAAATCACATAAAAAAGCAGGGCAAGATGGCTCCAGCAAGTGACCAAAATAAAGAACCACCAGAACACCTTCTAGAGGAATATAAGGCAATGGAACTCCCTGATAAAGAATTCAAAAGACTAATATACAGCACTTTCCAAGAGATCAAGAAAGAGATTAGGGAAAACACAGACAAAACCAAGGTACACACAAAGCAATAGAAGAATCCAGGAAAACGACAGAAGAGCGGAACAACAGAATAAACAGGCTACTGCAAACCATACAAAAGCAACTAGAAATGTAAGAGTAACAATAAAATTTCAGAATTAGACAACTCAATAGAAGGTCACAGGAGCAAGATTAAGACAATGGAAGACAGAATTAGTGAGATTGAAGACAAATCCCCTGAAACTAATACATTTGAGGAAAAATCAGAAAAAAGAATGAAGAAAAATTAAGAAAGCCTAAGAATTATGTGGGATACTGTCAAGAGGAAAAACATACAAGTGATCGGAGTTCCAGAAAAGGGGGGCTTAATGCAAAACACAGAGAGAATTGTTGAAGATTTACTGGCAGAAAACTTCCCCAATATCATGAAAGTTGAGAAGATATCTATCTAAGAAGCTCAATGAACCCCAGACAGGATAGACCCCAAAAGAAAGTCACCAAAACATCATAATCAAACTTGC